CAATCATCAAAATATGAATGTGCATTCTGTATCCTGTTAAACTTACACAATTTCCTTCTAATTTCTCCCTCCATTTTCCTTCTTCTTTTATTTGTATCCAATGCCACTTTCTTGCTTGCACATGTGCTTTACACAGCCAACCTGTCAGACCCAGGAAGCAGGAGCTACACAGTCAAAGGTCTTTCTGAAGGCTCCTATAAATTTACTGTCAAGGCCTACACCTCAGCAGGAGAGGACACGGGTGCCACTGCCTCCATAATGCTGGAGCCATTCAGTAAGTTCATGTATTAATTGAATAACTTTAACTGGTAATTTACATTTGTGTTTATTCCACAACTATTACAAAAGTTGCATGTACAAACAGATTTTGTACAAATAAATATTAACAAGTGAGATTAACACTGTGAGTTATATTCCAAAGTAGGAAGAATGTAATCTTGCTTTAGTTCTAATATCTCAAATAACTACTGTCTTGTCCTGACAGCTGATTGGCTGATTCTGGAAATCTTGGCTTCCTTGGGAGTCACAGCCTTATTCCTGGTTATTGTCACCTTTTTATGCTACAAGAAACGGAAATGGTGAGAATGTTAAGCTATATCCTGTGTCTCTTTCATGTGTGATTTATAAATATTGTTGCAAATATTCAGCAGCAATAACCTTTAGAACTGTTTTGAAAATTCTCTATGAGGAGGTACTATTTTAATTTGTAAAAATGTAATGAAAATGTTTTTTAAAGTGAAAATATTTGCTTGTCACCAGGGTGAAAAAGGCCTTCTATCCAGACATACCTGAGCCCAAGCTGCCTGGTGATTGGTCCAGGTCACAGGTACATTATCAGTCTAACTCATCTGACCCTTACCACTAAAATAATTCTATATATATAACTATTGACCATTTTTGTATGTTCCAGTTTTCTCCTGTGTAACTAATGAAGTGTTTAAAATAATGATTATTGTCTCACAGGCACCGTTGGATGTGAAGCCTCCTCACCACAGTTTGGTCCATATGGTAGAAAGGCCTGAGTGGGATTCTAGTAAAGAAGCGCTCGTCGTCATTCCTGAAGAAGATGAGGATGAAGATGGTCAGGGGATAGGAGACGAGCTAGTTGACACAGATGAGCCAACGTCATTACGCTACTACAACCAAGTAGTAGATGAGCGGCCCATAAGACCACGTTACCCAGACTCCTCTGATTCTTCCGCCTCCTCTTTAGATTCAGCACGCACCGATGTGACATACACGGGGATCCAGACATCAGGGTCTTCTTTTGTCTTCCAGCTAGATCCTCAGGGCTCTTCTGAGGGCCACCAACCCCAGGCTGACCCATCCTTCTGTGCAGGAGGAGGGGGAGGTTACCGGCCCCAGATGCAATCTAGAGTCCCTAGTGATGACACAGGCTCAGCGTCACCCAATTCTTTTCCAGAGCCCCAGGCTGCTAGTGGCTACAAACCCCAGAGCTCCTGGCAAATGGACTCCCCGGTGGACGATCGGGAAGGTCGCAGCCGTGCATCCTCTCTTGGTTCCCCCACCTCAATTGCTTCCACTCAGTTCCTCCTCCCTGATGGAGAGGATCATACAGAGGAGAAACGACAGCCCTCATCATCAGCAGCAACATGGTTAACCAACTTGCTGTCATCCACAAAACCATAAATCATCTCTCTCTCAATACTAGCCGCCAGGCCAGGGGGGTTACATAACACGTTTGAATTCAGTGCTTTTACCAGTGTCATTTATAAAACAAGCCTAATCCATATGGTCTACATCAGTCTACATGTCCCCTCTGATGTAGTACTACATTACAGTTGCACTTAAACAGCAAGTTTATAATGCCATTCAAGTGGTTTATTCCAAAGATACAGAAAAGTGTATATAGTTAATTTTATGTCAAGCAAATATCATAGATACAAATCTGTATATTTATATATCAAAACATTTCTATTCTAGCAAACCGCTTAAAAGAATATTTCTTTATGATTCTTTTAAACCATATTTATAGCACCCCCTGGCAACCTGGTGGTGCTAACGTCCCCTCAATGCCTTTCCAGTGACTCCCTCTGAAGGCCAGTTAGCAATGGCATATCCTGTTACAATTGAGTACATCCAGTTTATCTTCCGTTTCAGATATTTTTATTTGACTGTGATATGAACTTCACTACACTACAGAAGAACCATTAAAATATGAATGTTTTAAACCAAATGACACCACAAAAAAGGTAAAGGATATTTGTTGGACAACACTACAAAAGAACAGTTTCTATAGAAAGTATCCATGTCTTCTGCTGGTCTGCCATTGGGATAATCTCGCCTGTTTTGTGACAGTTAATGAGCTCCTGAAAGAAAAAGAGGCATTAAGCTGTAAATAAAAGTGATACCATTTTAAATGCATGTTAAGATGGCACTCTCCTGGATCAATAACAAGGTGGTTCCTCTCCTCATAGATGTGATCTATTTTTCACAAATTACTGTCTGAACGGTGGGATGTTGAAAGATGAACTTTTAAATAAGAAAAGTTAATATTTTACACAGATACACAAGTGGTGCTGTCAGTAATGGTCTGGAATTGTAAGGGTGATGAGTCCTGTGGATATATACACTGATATAAGCTAGAACATTAATACAAACAGATTAATTTACTAACACACTGATATGTTACTTTCTTTTTGCAGTATTTCTTTTGTTGAAAATGTATTTATTTTAGAGTAAGGTCGGTATCCTTTTTTATGTAGCTATGTGATTTGCTTTATCCTCAAGTTGATAATTGGTATTAGACAGGTAATGTTAATTAACTTGGATGGTTATTTGCAGTGTTTTAATTGCCTTGATAAATATAATGCTTCCAGTCTTGTGCATCAACTTAATGTTCACACAATGCCTTGCTCCTAAATGTTATGTATAAGGGAAAAAAAAGTTTTACAATAAAAGCTTTATTTTATTGGACAACCAGAATCCTCTGGCACTGTGCGTAACATCTACAAAGTAGTCCCTTTTAATCAACTTCAGTAAGCGCTGATTTAAAAAAAAACTTTGGTTAAAATAAAATTACCACATTGTTGTGAGTGAAAGCTTGTTTATTTTTTGGAAGATTTAAGTCTACAAAACATGTTTGTTTTCAAATGTAAAATGTTTTTATTCCCTTTATTTATCTCAACGCCTCTTGGAAAAAGGAATCTTGAAATGCTTCTATACAAAAATGTGTTGAAATGGCCTTATGAATATTCTTAAATTGAAAGCAATTCGTCATCTCCATTATGGGTCAAACAGCCCTAGGATTCCCAAAAGTATGATTTTTCAAATAATATTTTATATTCTAATCCAGCGGTAAACAGGTTGTTTATTTTACCATATCTCTCAGGCCCATGTGGCAGCCCTTGGTTACTGTTTCTTAGTGCCTCCAGCCAACAAGCTTTAAGTAAACCTACTGTGATATGAATGAGGACTTTGACTATAGTATGGAAGGATGGCTTCACTGATGATGAATTAATGACAGGCAGCGCAGGCAGTCCTCTTTGACTACTGAGAAAAATGTCTCCTTGTACTTTGTCTTGTAACACTGATGTTAATTTTAACTGGGGAAAATGGTTAAAAATAAAAGATAAAAGCTACAGCTTTCACTATCATATTGAATAAGGGGTAAAACAACCAGTTTGAGATCAGTGAACTCCAAGGCAGTGCTAAAGTGTGTTTTAAGTATTTAAACATGACTGCTTTCTCAGACAAACTCTGCATTGCAGACTAATATGAATGCTATGTGTTACATGCTTTTGGGTTGATTTGTATTAACAAAAATGGCATCTTTTTATTTTTTTCTCTAAATCTTTGTTTTTACACAACTAATTGTACATATTTGTGAATTTCTTTCATTTATTTTCTCTTACGAAAATCAAATTGATATTACCTATTCTACAAAAAGCAGAGTTAATGTTGACTTACCAGCTCTCTTGTGAGAAGAAGAGCAAATGTTTGTTTTGGCGACACCAGATATGTAAAGTCCTCTGATATATAAAAGCATCACACTTGTCTGTATATTTGTTGTGTACTTATATACATAGAAGCTTTTTGTCGATACAATCATGTAAACGGATGTAGAATTGTGATCCTGGCTGCTTATAAAATGTATTCTACTACCTTATCACAGCAGTATCACTTGCCAGACAAATTGTAATTATTGGTAACACTATGCAGACTCTTACATGCTGACATGCACATTTTCGTTTAGTCCGCTACCTGTTTTCTTTGGTCCGCCTACATTTTTTATTTGAACCGATGCTTACACTGTGGAAAGTTACACTTCTGTTCGGTTTACAGCAGGGTAAACTTGCTGCCTAACAAGTATTCATCTCTGGTCTTGGATGTTTTTTGTGAAATTATGCATGTTGTATAAACTATTACTACAAAAAAGTGGCTGGTAAATCCTTTAAACACCATGTTTATGTTACCTTATAGCTTAAAACAAATTGCATTGACTTATGTTGTGCACAACAACATGACTAAAAATAGGTGTTCCTGAGAAAGATTTTCATTTCATTTGAATTGTCATGATATGTTGCAGAACATTTAACTATGGATAAAAAACAATGTGCTTCTGAGTTAATAAATACATGTTAACACTTATAACACAAATCGAAATGCTGCTTGTTTAAATGCAATAAAGTCATTTGTCTGGCAACTTGTCAGTTTGTCAATATGTTTTATTTTCCACTTCTATACAGATATTAAAAGTCTGTTGCCATTTACCATAACCAATGGGTTATAGGTTTTAGTAGTACAATACACATACACTACACACAAGTGATTATTTTCTTCTCTAATTTGCAAAAGGATGGCTGCAGTGAAGTGCTGCTAAAAATACAAACGCCCCTGATGGCCCTCTTAAGTGTGGAGTTGTACAGGTTCTGGATCAGTTTGCAGTCATTGCATCCCACCATTATTTTAAGCGTAGAGAAGAAAACTGATTCAGGGCCAGCTTGATCCTCCCCCCGCGTGCTGGGCAACTCTGTTGACGCGTCACCATGGCAACAATGCCCCCTTGCCTTGGGATATCCTCGGCTGTTTTTCAACAGTTATTATCGAGCTCCTACGATTAACTTCAACCATGTCCAATGCAGTAGTATATAGTCTGGGTTTTAATTAAAAGACATAAGATGACGGATATTTTGTGCAGGTGGCTGAACGAGGAACTCAAGCTGTCAAAAGCGATTGGTAAGTGTAAACAAAGTTATCGCTATCTAGCTAGCTACCTGCGAGCCTAATTAACTCTAACTTTAAATTTGAAAACTCTGACAGCGCCATTTTGGAAGCTAAACGTCGAATTAGAAAGACAGTTGATGACTTATCAACACAGTCAAGTGATATTGATTGGTAGGCTATGATGTCATTAGCAACGATAACAAAGGACCAATAAAACATTTGGGGAAACCATGAAAACCCATAGTTACTTGCTAGGTAGTGAACATGTCATTTTAAACATTTTCGATAACTTAATGGTTTTTCAACATGTTTTCAGTTTGAAGCATAAAAGAATATCACATGTTGAAATTGTCACTGTTTGAGTCCATTAACGCAAGTTAACCTTCACAGAGCCAAAGACCTTTGCCAAGGATTTCTCCAGTGGCTACCTAATTGGGGAAGTTCTTCATAAATATCAGATGCAAAATGATTTCAGTATGTTTATGAAAAAAGAGTAAGTTGCCCTCTTTCTTCCTCTTGCTATCTATCATTTTATTTGTAATTGTTAATTCTCTATTCCACTTTTTAAGTATTTATATTTGAATGTCTGAACACACTGCTGCTTCTGTAATGAAAGAATTTACCAAATTGGGATCATTCAAGTATCTATCTATCTATCTATTGTTTTTTTGTTGAAAAACAAGCAGACGGTTACTTATTTTTCCAGCTCATTTAAAGTTTTCTCATAGTAATAATTAAATAATGAAAGTTATCTTATTTCATAGCACCCCCATCTCCAGAATGAATAATTTCACCCGCCTTGAGCCCACACTCAAGTTACTTGGGATCTCCTTCAACCTGAACACAGCTCAGGACCTGATGCAGGAGAAGCAGGGTGTTGCCACACGCCTCCTCTACCAGCTCTATGTCACCCTTGAAAAGAAGAAGAAAGGAGACATCAGTGGCACATTGATGGAAATCATGCAACCCGCAGCCAAAGCAGGCTTGCACAAAAAGGAGCATGAAATCTACTCTGATGTAAGGGGGACTGTCAAGCTGTAACTGTAGTTTGTGCATTTGGTTTCGGGCCTATTTCTTATGGCAACAGCACATTTTATTTCTGTAACACCATATTGAGATAAGTGGTACTACTCTGTGGTCTGTCCTTTATTCTTTCAATTATGTTTTAAAGTTTTTATTTACTTAATCTTATATCTACAAGAAGTAATCAATATCTACAAAAATATGTTACAATAAGCATATATTTTTCTTTTTCGACATAGCGACTGCATCAAGTGGTAAAGCGTGATGCAGATCAAAAGCTACAGAAAATTTCGCAGCACTATGAAGAGAAGTACCAGCCAATGGACGACAGGTTTGAGATGACCCGTCCCATCCAGCAACAGAGACCACTCAGAGTCCAGGATGAGAAGAGAATGAACAACAGTGAGAAGGTACTGGAAACCATTTAAAGTCAAATGCAGTATTGTAGTACATTTTTCCTGTATTCATTTTTGACCAGACTTCAAGGCCATCTTTAGTTATATCTTTATAAACTCTTCACATATTGTCCCGGCTGATACAACTAGAATTGAGCCACAGACGCTTGATGGATGCAAAGAAGGGTCATGCTAATGAGTGGAAACTGTTTATGTTGCAGTTGTTGGTGTCTCGTGAGAAGCAAAAACGCATCATTACTTGTAACCTGGCCGCTACTGTCCAGGTGCCCAAGCCACCTCCCTACACTTCACAGCTCAACCTTAAAAGAAGGCAACAACAGCATCAACGCCATGAACAAGAAGCGCAGGTGGGATTCAGATTAAAGAAGGTTTAACACAAAGAGGGAATTTCATTGATGGCTATAGAGAAGTATGCATAGAGTTTGTAGAAGCAGTTGCTTGCAATGGACATTCAAAAATATCCTTCACACAATTTTAGCAATCCAGGCCCAACAACTCTGTGTTCGTCTTGTTCGCCGTATGTTCCTAGTCACTGCTAATAGCTTGTTATTGCTTAACACTTGCTTTGTTTACAGAGGGGAGATTCATTTTAATTCAAATTCTCTGCCAAGTCTTTCTTTGGGATATTCCAGATTAAGAAGGAATTTCAACAGATGACCCTCTGTATACAATACTACCTCTAATGCAATTGTCATGCCATGAGTTCAACAAAAAATCCTTTAACTTTTCACAGCATACACAAACAGTAAAGGAGTGACATGGGTCTGTTTGTCCTTCTGGTTTTTGCAATTGTCGTTCATTTTTGTCTGCAGACTGTCAAGACTGAAATAGCCCAGTTCGAGACAAGGAAGAAATTGCTTACTTATGCTGTTCCTTCCTCTTCAAGGTGAGACAATAGGGAACATTCCCTTCATTTGTTTTGTTTTTATGTGGTATTCTTTATTGATATGTTTGTATTGCTTTGATTGTTTTGCAACCTGATACAATCTTACATTGGGACAATGATTACAAGTGTGTATTGAACTTTTTCATTTCTAGTGGTCAGCCTGTCCCTAGAGATGTTGTTCCTGGTGGCAGCAGCCAGGGCTGTGAGCTCCCTGAAAGTGGAACTAAGCTGACCTTACAATCTTATAGCAAGTATATACAGAATATCCGACAGAGGCTTGAGGAAAGTGCTGGAGCTCGGGAAAAGAGAGAGAAAAGACGGGACAGATTCCTGGTGGAGCAGCTCAAGGCCCATGAAGCTCAAGAGGTGAAACTTCAAGTTGAAAATGTTTCAGATACATCTGATACAGGCTATGCTCTCACAGTGTGTTATTTGACATTCCTTAATTGATCAGCCACCTCTCCCTCACACTGCAGGATGCCCGGCGAGATGAGCAGCTGGTGAAGCGTCTGACACGTCAGACCCAGCAGGAGCACCGTTTGGCAACTCAGCTTCTGCAGATACGCATGCAGAAGGATGTGATACGGGAGAACCGGCTGTTCAGAGAGCAGCAGTACCAGCAGCGGAGAGAGAAGGACTTCCTGGAAGCTCTGGAGAGGGAGGCGGTGAGATAGGATGAATAACGAAGAAGAATAATTCTCTCTATTGTCATTTTGTATTAGGCTGTAATTGATAGTATGGGTGGTGTAATAGGAAGAGAAGAAAGGATGTATTTAAGTAGTTATCAACCAGGCTTTTGGTATTCTGACGAGAGAGAAATACAGATAAATGGTAAAGTTAGACTATATAATTCATAAATAAAGGCAGATACCTGGATAAATGATTGGCAAAGGATGCAGCCATGGTCCAGCATGGTTTCAGTGTTAAATATTCAGTATGTTTTCGTAAAGTATGGTCCTGGTGTTATGTCTCAATTAGTCTCAGAGCAGATTGTCAAGCTCATTTTAGATGATTTAGGAAGAAATATATATAATTGAATGTACATAAATGTTAAAGCTTTAATGTGGTATTATTGATGCTGTGTTTATTGGCAAATTAGTAAACTGTATTAATCGTTACTTACAAAGATTTAAATTTCTCCCTTTTTTCTGCAACCTCTAATATCAGACATGTACTGATGTCTGTTGCTTTGTGTCTCTTTAAGGAAACACAGTAAAACGTGTTTTTTGCACAATAAATGACCTATGTGACATCTTTCACTTTCCTTCTTTACTTACTGACTAACGGTGGTAACCAGCAGAACCATTTACATCCTGCCTTCTCCACTTATTTCATTTCTCTGACTGGGGTCTGGTATAGGCTTTGGCTCAGCAGGCTAAATTGGACCGTGCCGAAGATATCCTAAAGGAGCGTGAATTCTGTAAGAGGAATGCTGCTGAGCGAGCTCAGAGCAGATACAAGAAGCACTTTAAGAGCTGCAAGGACATTTTGGAGCAGATAGTGGACTTGACCACCAAGGTTGGAGAATACCGACAGCTCACTGAGAAGTATGTCACACAATTATTGTTATCAACTTTCATCTGCAATGATTGTAAAAGTAATTTAAGCCATCACATTTTAAGAGTTGAAATTACTGTTGTTTTAAATACATTTTCACTTAGTCTACTTCATTATTTGAGGTATTTATCAATGCTTGAACACATTTAACAGTACAGCAGTGAATCATCTAATTTGTTTTAATTGATCAGAATACAATTTTCTCTATTTTTAAATGAGTATACAAGATGACACAGTTGGTACAATGAACTATACCAACATAATGAAACATGGGCTAATGACTCTACCACCCAAAAACCTGACACCAAATAAAACAATTTAACAGGAAAGTTCAGCTTGAATTAATTCAAGGCAGGAAATGGTCAAAAGAAAAATCACAAAAGAAATGGATGAAGGGCATCGATAAAGCAAAACACAACAGATACAAAAATAAACTATAGGGGCAAGGTTGTTTTTAACTAAATGTTTTGTGAGTCATAAACTTGTGAAAAGATCAACAACATGGGAACTGACCAGTGTAGTTAAATATAATCAGGAAGTGTTAACATCCTGTCTGAATCTTCTCACTATCAAATACATAATATCCAAATATATGCACTCCCTACACAACCATTCTTAACAATCACTTTGTATAGATTTGTGCATTCCACTAGATTTTACATATCTATCATATGAACTCTAAGAGGAAACATTGAAATATAGTTGGGTTAAATCATTATTATGGCTCAATTGACACAACATTTTGATTCAATGTAAATACATTTGGACATTAGTAGTTTAGCTTTGCCTTCTATAACTTGTTCTGCTGTCATGTCCAGTCAGATCCCAGAGAAGTCCATGAGAGAGTGGAAAGAACTGCTGTTCAATGGTCTGCCTCTCTATGAGCCGATACACTGCCAGCAGCCAGAGATTGAGTTCACTCCCCCACTAGATCCTGTAGAGCTTGAGAAGCAGGAGATACTGAACAACCAGGACTATGATGAATACACTGTGAGTTTATAAAGCAAGTGGAGTGAGTTTTCAGATCTTGCTTGTGTGTATTCCCACAAACGCTGAACTGAAGCGATTAACTGCTTCATCTGAGCGTGAAGATCCTCTTTGACTTGGCCACAATGTCACTTTTCCAGAACATGGTAGATGAGTGGGCATGGCCAGAGGAAGCAGGGGAAACCAAACCAACCCTGACCAACAACAACATTCTTGGACACGTTGTCCTACGACTGAGGAACATGGTTCATCAACCCATCACTAAACCCTCCTCACCCTCATTCCCTCACTTTACCTTTAAGGCCTGTGTCCTGGGAAAGCTTTGCTCTGGCAAGACCACCTGCCTGGCCAAGTTGGCTGAAGGTACACAGCATGCGATCAGAACAAAGATGCAAGCATTCGCACAAACACAATTTCACACCATTTAATTACGTATTTACTGGAGTGATAAACTGTAGTCAAAACATTTTTGCTATAAGAAAGTATGGTGTACTGAGCATGTGTGTTGTTTCCTGCTCTAGCCCATGGCATCAATATCCTATCTGCGGACACGCTCATTGAAGAGGCGCTGGATGCTAACCGAAATGGAGAACAGGTTTGTCAGATACAGTATAACAGGATGGTAACTAATTTTGTATTTATTCTTATCACATCATTAAGATTTAAAGGACTTTTCATAAGAATATCTGAATCAGAAAATCTCAGTAGCTGTTAATGCTGGTGCCAAAATGTATAAACCTGTTAAAACCTCAATGATCTTAAACATTTGAACTTGAAACATCAGGTTCGGGTCACAGAAGAGCAGGAAGAGAAAGGCAATGAGCACTTGCTCACATCCTGCACATCACTGGAGCCTGGTGGGTTACTGAAGCCAGCGTGATTTAATTGTATGCTACACTTTGATGTATATCATAGTGTTTTTTGCTTCCGATAAAAATGCACTGCATATGAAGCATTTCACTAATTTGTTTTTTTGATGTGATACTCATAATTTAATTGTTTTTCAGACCTTGAAACTGAAGAGACAAGTAGAAAGAGCACCTTAAGAGTGAGTGTTGTTTGTGATCTGCTGACAATAATGTAACCTGTATACAATTGATACCGCTAACCAACTTTCAACCGTTATCCTTGATGATACAAAATTATGAATTTGTATTGAATGTAATCATTTGAGAATATTGAGTAAAATACATCATTTTCTTCAGATTAAATGTGGACCTATCTGGATTGAAACTTATTTAACTAATTCCTGTTCACATATTTCTTGAACAGCTGTCTACCCGGGCCATGCAGGGAGCGGCTGCAGACAAAGAGCTGAGGGAAGGCAACCCCATCCCTTATGATCTGGTAGTGGACATCATAGTAGAGGCTATCAGGTAAACTCATTAACTGTATTGATGTTAAAAACAGAACATGTGATTTAGTCAACTGTATACTAATTTGACCATATTCAATTAATTTGACAGTCGATAGTCCAGAGAAATGTCAAGGATACAGTCCTACTTTTACAAACAGTTTGAATAAAATGTATAATAAACAAACCCCCATGGTCACTCTCCTGACAGTGACATATTGTTGGTGTCCTTAATAGGCAGGTTCCAGCTCAGTCAGGATGGATCCTGGATGGCTTTCCATTGGACATCACCCAGGCCTTCCTGCTAGAGAGAGCCCTGGGTGGGTGTGTAGATGAAGGGAATTGTGTTGTGAACAGCAGGACAGACCTTGCTGCTGATCCTAACCCACCCGAACCTCCAACACCCCCACCTCCTGTACTGGACCTGGCTCTGCTGCTGGACATCCCTGAGGAGTGTGTGATCAGACGAGCTTTCAGTCATACAGGTATGTTACACTGGTGGGAGTTTGATATATTTTATAGTATATATAGTGAGTCTGTGCTGTCCTGTTTTTCACTCTCAATCTGTGGCTGCTTTAACTCCTGAATTTCCCCACGGCGAATAATAAAAGTCTGGCTGTGTGCTCCCATAAAGTAACTGTTAGATGGTGCGTGTATGAATACATTCACGAATAACCAGTTAAATATAAATAATATGTTTTTGTGTTTCTCTTACCCCCCCCAACCTGGTGCAGATCAAGATAGTGCCTGTCTCAAAGACAAGACCTTGTATCTGGCACAGATTCCTCACAGGTAAAAACTGAAATGAATACAATACTGCCACTGATCTACTGTCTGTCTGTCTGTCTGTCTGTCTGTCTGTCTGTCTGTCTGTCTGTCTGTCTGTCTGTCTGTCTGTCTGTCTGTCTGTCTGTCTGTCTGTCTGTCTGTCTGTCTGTCTGTCTGTCTGTCTGTCTGTCTGTCTGTCTGTCTGTCTGTCTGTCTGTCTGTCTGTCTGTCTGTCTGTCTGTCTGTCTGTCTGTCTGTCTGTCTGTCTGTCTGTCTGTCTGTCTGTCTGTCTGTCTGTCTGTCTGTCTGTCTGTCTGTCTGTCTGTCTGTCTGTCTGTCTGTCTGTCTGTCTGTCTCTCTGTCCGTCTGTCTGTCCGTCTGTCTGTCTGTCCGTCCGTCTGTCTGTCCGTCTGTCTGTCTGTCTGTCTGTCTGTCTGTCCGTCCGTCTGTCCGTCCGTCTGTCTGTCTGTCTGTCTGTCTGTCTGTCTGTCTGTCTGTCTGTCTGTCTGTCCGTCCGTCCGTCCGTCCGTCCGTCTGTCTGTCTGTCTGTCTGTCTGTCTGTCTGTCTGTCTGTCTGTCTAATGTATAACATCTTCTCCTTCCCTTTAAGAATTGTAGGTTTTGAAGACACCTGGCCCAAACTAGAGGATTGGTTTGGTGAAAAGCAAAGCATTCTGGTTCGTATTGATGCAGATGTGGACGAAGATGAGCTTTACAAAAGGATGGAGTCTGTCCTGCAGCAAGTTTGGATGCAAACACAGGAAGGTAACTTGTTTTCATTTTAGTATTATTTTAAATGTATGTAGACTCAGAATACTTTTCTTCTTTCTTACATAACATAATGAAAAAATACAAGTATTGTGTTTTATCAGACACTGATGACGAAAGAAACACAATATTTACTCACAACCTTCCGATATATACCCTCACCATCTCTGGCTACTTCTCCCGTTGAAGATGTAATGTTGGACAGTGGGAAAGCTCCTGACTGCCCCTCTTCAGCTGAACTTCCACCTGTAGGCCAACCTCAGGACGTTTCACACGAAGCCCCCGATCCCACAGAGTCCAAAACCAACTTAAGTGAGGAAAAAGCACAAATGTCTAAAGTCCCTTTCCAAAACAAGCTTTAACTCTCCAAGATGTGATCAGTAGTCGTACATTGTGTCTTCTGACCATCGTAAAACAAGATTCTTCATCTTTATTATTGTGATGATTTAATGACTTTTCTTCTGACTTCTCAATAGGGCACTCTAGGAAGGCATTTATGTCCTCAGTGATCAATGAAGCCTCTCAGGGGGTCCCAGTAAACCCACCTGAGTCTCCCTGCCCAGGTTATTCCAGCTGGGAATATGTGGATGAACCCCTTCCTCCAGTAGGATACACTTTTATTAGTATTTGTTTGTTTGGCTTATCAGAGTTGGAGGAGAACTTCCTCTCTAAGAATCAGTTGTGGTACCCTACCTGTGTTGCCTTGCATAGTTTGTTTTAATTATTTGAAGATACAGTACATGTAACGTGTCCTCTTCTTCCGTCAAATCTGTTACATAACACTATATACTGTTTTGTTTGATTGCCCTCTATCCTCCCATGCCCCCTGCTATGTTCATCTTTTCCCTCCCCCTCTCTATTTTTAGGAAGTCCCAGGGTTCATGTGCCCCCATTGGGACACAGTGTGTGATTCCTATGTGAAAAACGTAAAGACAGTAATGCAGCAGATCCGCTCGCAAAGCAGTGTTATTAACCATCACCTATTCAACATCAGGTATACTGCCGGGCCTTTGTAGTAGTGTGGACAAGGTTTCTTTTAGAACAATCACTTCAAACAAACTCATAACAAAGCATTTTCACAATGCATGTCTTTTCTCCCTTTTTATATTTGATATCCATCGCTGAAGTTACATTATTGGCTTTTAAATGTCAGTACATTCTTACAACTGTGTATCTGATAACATGAAAAGCAACACATTGATGCCTTGTAAATAAAAAACAGTGTGGGTTGTTATACATCTTTGCTACAATGGTTATAATCCATTACAAAAATGCAGTATGTAAGTTCAGTATTTTGAAAACACTTATTTTTAGGTTAATTTTTGATGTGACCCAAATGTTCTAACCGTATGGTCCTTCATCAGAAATATTTTACAAATAAAAGAGGAAAATTATGTTAAAATATAAGACCTAAAAGAATTGTCTCTGATATATGTTTACATGTATTAATATGTAATTCCATGGTTCCCTGTAGAGAGGACTACAAACATTACCTTGGACGTCCTGACTTAAGGCAGGAGCTGGTGTCTCATTGGCAAAAGGACTTCAACAGCATACCTGACGATATGAGGAAAGACGAGGATACCAAAGCAGAGCTGCATCTGAGACTGGATGTGAGAACTATTTCTAATACATTACAGTTATTCTTGATTTGATCATGAACATGGTATAAAACCTGCTTAAAACTGAAAATATAAAACTTGTGTTCAGGAACTGCGTGAACGTCTTTGGGACATTAGTGACAAGTGTAAGGAGGAGGACGAGCAAGAGAAGGCCGCTCTCATGGGGGACGGCTGGTTGGAGGAACACACGGTCATCCTCATCAACTATCACTCTAAACTCATGCAGGTGCATCCTCATTTTCATCTTCTAACTATTTGACTTTTTTTAAATGTTATTGTTTATAAACTCATATAATGGATTATGTTTTTTGTTCTATACCTGTTGCACTGCTTGTTTTCAGTCCTTTTCTAATGATGTGTGCAGTAGGAATATTCAATGAATCTTTTGTGTGACCGTAACCTTGGATACACTGTGCTGTGTAGGTAGAGTCAGACCGTCTCCAGGATACACTCTGTATTCTAAGAGTCTACTATTTGAGCATGTGCAGAGAGGTGCTGCCTGAGCTACCCTCCAGGTTGGCTTGTATCCCCCTTCTTGACTTCCCAGAAGTGAAGGATCAGGACGAGAGGCAAGAAATACACCATTCATAACAACCTAAATATGTCAAAAACCTACAAAACTGTAAATAGTAAATGATTATAAATAACTGCAGTCAGTGAAAGATCTATTTGCTCAGTACTGAGCAACTGTGCAGTCAGATAGGATAAGAGTACAATTCAAATGTAAGGATGATGCACAATCGCACACAGCATTAACTTTACTGCAAACTGGTTTAGAAGACATTATGGATGTTATCATTTTCTCACAGTCCAAATCCTTCCCCGCGCAAACACATGCACACATAAGAAATGTCCTCCTCTTCTCCCATTTCTTTCCTACTCTGCAGTCCTGACTCCAAGGAGAAAATCCAGGATCAGACAGAACCTGTCAAGGTCAGGGCATCCCTCAGTCATCCTGAATATAACTTTCATCATTTTAGTCTTCCTCAAAATCACAAAGACTACAATATATATTATTTCAGTTATCTTTGTAATGTTTCAAGCTGTACCATATTTTAAGACAGTTTATGGTTGACATTTTAGTACATTACTTAAATACATTTGAAAGAAAATATTCTTCAAAATAATTAAAAACACTCAGTGATGATTAATTAATGATGATTAATGAATGATAAGAGAAACTGACTGTTTACATTGTTACCTCTAGCTTCCCCAAGATAAACTGACCTCTGACTACACGGAGGCACTCAGAGGCATCAGCAAATTGGTAATTCTTGTTTGTGACAGTTTGCATAAGTAAATAAGGGGGTATATATATATATATATACAGTCATATTTATTTTAATTCCTGACGTGTATGGGTCATACATGTGTGTAGGTATCAGCAGAAGCCCACCAGGGGGAGATGAAAGGGAAGAAGGGGAAACCACAAGAGAAGGAGAAGGCACAGCAGGCCTCTGCAGATGCAAACAAAAACGCAAAAGGGATGAAAGGTATGTCATTAAGGAAGCCGTGGAGAAGTGCCCTCTAACATGTTGTTTATGAAAAAGTAGGTATTTTTCACCCTTATTTTATCCAAGTTTTGTTCCTCCAGGTCCACCATCCCCCCACCTTGAACCCAGCCCTTCACCAGCTGATACTTATGAAGATGTCAAACTGAAAATACATAAAGAATATGCTGCCACACTGGCTCAAGAGGGTATGCGCTGCAGTTTCAGTAGTTTCTCTATTTATCACAATAACAATATATTTAATCTTCATATATGTCCTGAGACCAAGAAAGAAAAAGGTTTCAAATTTCCTTTTTTTTTATCACACAAGTCTTTAGGGTGGTATAAACATAATGACTAACAAAAACAAAAAATATATTTTTTTATTTTTGTTTTATTGTCTCCTTTGTAGAGGACATCAGGTGTTAGTTATGCGAAGCATAGTATACAAACAACATTAACATACAAGTACATTTAGACAACATTAGAGCACAACAACTCAATGCAACAAATACTGAGCCCTCATTTGTAGTACTCCATCCTTTTTTGAAATGCAGAGATACATCTGACACTTGAGGCACTTGGTGTATGTTTTCCCACTGCATCCGTCTGCCATGAACCCTACAGAAACCTACGTGTTAGTTTTGGCCCATAGTGAACTCCATTTGTGTTGTGTAAAACGAGGGAAATAAAAAGTTAGCAAATCCCCAATGTCCTCCTCAGAGGACATTCATAAAAACATTTAGTTTTAGGTCAAATAATTATTACACTGCTCTGAAACTCACTACACTTACTATCATTAATTAAAATCTTGAACTCACAACACTGGTAATTACAAAATTACAAATTTACCATTTCTCTTTCTATAAATAGTGCTTGCGTTGATGGACGCCATTTTGAAATACAATGAGATTATCTTTTTCAAAGCCACACCCCCACATATGTCACATGTCTGAAAAGCCCAGGATGTCCTCTGTGGAGTACAATTGGACTTAATGCTGTGGCATGTATAACCTCATAGTTATGGACCAAAACCAAATGTCCTCCATAGAAGACAAAAATGAATGGGTGGGTCTCAGGGGGATATACATGTTTTTAATGTTCTAAGTGGCTGTAAGAACTGTATACTATGATATATATATACATGCAGGTGAGTCTCTTGTGTATCCATGTGTGTACTTTTGTGCTTACTGTAAACATACATGTATGTGTGTAAAAAATCATTATACTTATGTAGTTGTGTTCCTCTGTTTGTCTTGCTGTATGCATGTTTGTGTTTTCTAGAGAATGCAGCAAAAATGCGCATTGCGCTGGTAAAAGGTCACGGTCTGAGGATAGTGAACTCCCTGCAGAGTAGAGCAGAGGAGACTTTAAGCAACATGGAGAAGTGGTTAGAAGCACACTATCTTCCAGCCATGAAAAGGTATGGTACAGTTCAGTGTGGGTCAATGTATGGTATTGTGTGGGCTACATGTGCATGAAGAGATATTTGAATGTGAATAAAGCAGCAATAATGTAACACTGCACTGCTCTCCCTGTATTATCTTTTTTTCTTTTTCTGATTAGTGTTATAAATGCTGTCTTTATTCTGTCTCCATGTCATAATGCTATAAAGTCAATGTGCTCGTATGTTAGACCCATAATTGAATTGTATGAGTAGTGAGTTACTGTCCTCGTTATTTTATCAAATAAATACAAAAATACATAATTCTTGTGAAACATTAGATTTCTGTCCCCAAACGTCCTGTTTGATGTTGGTGTCTCTTTTCTCTAGTATTGATCAACTCTCCGAAGTGATCCGCCATCATATTGAGGCTGGTGATAAGTTGAAATTTGAACTGGTGTTGGTATGTAATGAATTTTTAAAGGTTGTTTACTTTTTTGTAAGATATTTGAAAATTCTTCCCATATCTTAATTGTGGAGCTCACTGGTTGAAGGGAAGTTCGAGGATAACACTTCAATTGTTTTCCCAGCATGTGACATTTGACAGTGAACCACAATCTCCTCTAACTCTTCTATATTCTTTTTTCCAGGAATGTACTGACTTCTACCTGAATGGAGACTGCCTCATGGTGGCTAGCCCAGCCCCCCCTCCCCGCCCAGCTCCTCTGGAGAAACCCACAGGGTCCACCCCAACAATCACCCAGCTACAGTCCCTCCACCAACAGCTATGCAACGTTGCTCCATCAGGTTAATACAGAGCTGACAGGATGTAATGTTATGGGTCTATAAGTCCTGCCATTTGACACCCATCCTTTCCCTTCCTTTCTAACATTTAGGCCTCATATCCAGTTCTGAGTTCTACAGTTTGCTCAGGGATCTCATAGTTGTTACACTGGGCAAAAACACCTTGCCTGAGCCCTGGATTAAACAGAATGAAACACAGGTACTCTTCAATTATTCCAGACACTCAAAAACACAAGAGCACAAATTATTTATTATATTATATTTCTCACAGCATCAAATTCAAATTCTAATAATCCCTCTGCTGACTACAACCTAGTGTAGAGAAAGTAGAGCAAGACAAAATCACTCCTTCACCACACCGTCCTGTTACAATAAAAGAACCATCACATTGCTTACACGAGAGTTGTCCTTTTCCCTCCTCCCCTTAGATGATGGAGATTGTGTCTCTGCTAACAGATGAATATGAGCTGATAGACTGGCGTAAGTTTCTGCTCAGTGCTGCCCTCCCTTGGCCATTCCCCTCCCTGTCACAGCTGCTGACTGTGCTCCAACGCTTCAAGGCAGCAGATCGTGGAAACACAGGCTATATAAACGAGGAGCAGTACCTACAGGTCTCACACACACACACACACACACACACACACACACACACACACACACACACACACACACACACACACACACACACACACACACACACACACACACACACACACACACACACACACACACACACACACACACACACACACACACACACACACACACACACACACACACACACACACACACACACACAAATCAGACACAACACTATAAACTGTATACTTTATATATTTTGAAGTTACTCGTCCTTTCTCACCAGACCGAGCTGTGGTTTTCCAGTGAGAGTGTCCTGCCCGTCCCAGAAGACCCCTCAGAGCCTCTACCTTATGACCGTCTGGCTAACCTACGCAAGGTAACATCCTGCTAAGTCTGACAATTTCACTCCAAACCAATGTAAATATTCATGAAATGGGAAATTCAAGTGGTCATGGCACACAAAAAACGTAAAAGTAAAAGGACCATCTTCCTTCTTAGTTTTTTTTCCAGTTGTTTGCGGACCACTCTTTCTCTCCATCTCGACTGGATTATTTAACCATGCTGCAGTACTTTGCAGCCGACCCTAACCCCAGACAGGGCTTCATCAGAGCGCTCAGTGTCGTGCTAGGACAACATCTCAAGCACTCCTCCCAGGGACATCTTGTCAAGGTGAGATAACGAAAGCACAAACATGCTCGAATGAAAGGAAAAATCATTGCACATTGTTATTTCCTGTCACAGGTGTCTTCAGGTGATCCAATATTATATAAGAAACCCTTTATTATTATTTTCAGTTATGCCAACAAGATTGTTTTTTATACATGCATCAGATATTTTTGTGGTTGGTGATTTGTTTTGGAAAGAAACAAGTGAGTGTTTTCAGTACAGACTATTGCACTTGAATTCAACAGTGTTACTTCAGTATGCTTTATACACACAGTCGATGCCCAGTATAGAAGAGGCTACAGAGTTGGATGAAGACTACAGAGAAGCAGAGTGTGCGTTAGCATCAAGCAGTCTGCTGGGGGAACAGGAAGTGTCCATCCCTGCTCTCCTCGCTGTCATCTCCCATAAAGTCACCAAAATAAAAGACGTCATCCACCTTCCTCCAGACTGCCTGAGTCAAGAGGAGCACACTGAGGTATAACAGTTCAAACTGGGCTTTAAAGGAAATGCACAAATTAGTAGTTTAATTCAATAAGGAATACAATTGTCGACTTAATGTACTAAAATATGAAAGGCTTCATTTTCAATTCAGCAGAATGTATTTATCCCTCAGGAAGATTAAGTATTCTATTTTGCTTTCTACTGTTCACCACCAATGTTTCGAAACTATTTTAAAATATGAAGGGGACAGTCCACACCTTATATAACATAGTTCACTTAACATAAATGACACTAAACCTTTTTTCAATGCCGGGGATTAAATGAAAGCAATATACTTGAGCTGTTAATAGATGTAATTGAATGATTCTGGGTTATATGTACTCTTTTGAGGAATTGTTCTCTGATTAGAATTATTAACCATATTAGTAAAAGGAAACTCTTCCCTAATGGTTCTTCTCTTCTCTGCTTGCCCTTAGCAACTGGCACATATATTCAGAGCGCTGGGCTACATGCCTGAAGACTGTATCCCCTTCTCCGTTCTCTCTCTGCACCCTTTCATCCAGGATTTGATGGAGACCTCAACACACTTTCAGCTTGTAGTAAGTCTGGACACACATCTATTTGTGATTTGTTCCCCTAAAACAATGTTTGGTCATTTGGAATCCACAAATAGCACACTGCTTGCTGCTGTGACCACTGTCCTCACTGTCCTCCCTGTCCACCATCATGTGCATCAAACCTCCTTCCAATTCAGCTTTTGTTGTCATTTCTTCCTCACTTTTAACCTTTTTGTTTACCAAAACTATCTCTTAATCCCCTCTCTCTTCCTTTCTATTTGTCCCTCAGAACATTCATAGAGTGCTACTGGCTCATCGAGATGAAGGAGAGGCTAACAGCTCAACAGTTTCCTAAAGGATGACACACATATGTTCTGCTCCACATTGAAAATGCTTTGGCCAAGTGTGAAGTATTCTCGTTACAGTTACCTTTGACATCTTCGATTATATCTATGGCTTATTTCATTTTTGAATAAATATATTTACAACCGTAACTTGGGTCATCATGTAGAAATGTCTGTAACAAACGGTGGTTGAAATGACAACAATAACATCAATGATGTCAGGATTGACCCCTCTTACTCGTTTTTCCCCCCGATACACTCCAGCAGTTTTTCTGACTGACTTGTTTTTCTAATGACCCTTCTGACACAGAAAGGCATTGGTTGTGGCTACAATGAGTGCATTGTCCAAGATAACCTACATCTCAAGCCTGACTTACCAGCAACTGCCTGCCAGGGCACCCTCAGCCTGTCACTGCCCCGTCAGCAGTCATGTGTTCTGGTGGCTACTCTCTCTAGCAGTCAGTGCCGCCTGCCTATCAATCACAATTACGTTGTATGCTGTTTTCTTTTTTAATGAGCATGTAAATAAGGTAATCAGTTTTGAAAGCTGGCTGTTCTTGTGACTTGCCACTTATTAACACATTAATTTCAATTAGGTACAGGTGTCACAATCATATTATTATCATCATAAAATGCCTCTCTATTCTTATTGGTGGAGGGGGTCACATTCTTCAGCAACTTTGAGAGAATGTGACTCTTTCTTTTTGTCTGATTTGAAACAATATGGGGGATACCCCCCCCCCCCCCCCTCACACACACACACCCCTCTGACCCACCTCCCTTTCTCTCTTCTCCTCCCTTTCATTATCACTGCAGGACAGGTCCAAGGCTCTTGGACCTCTCAGTGACTTATAGAGAAAACAGTGCCGCTGACATGTATCATGGAGACAGTATCATACTTGCAGACTTGCATCCAAAACCTTCTGAATAAGGAATTCATCAAAGTCTTAATGTTGGACCTTTGACATCGACCACTGCAAACATATGAACCGTCTTTACTCCTGGCTAAACGGACCTGAGATCCAAGGGAAGACTTTCAGGACGTAACGTGGTGCATTGAACATTTGATTTTATCAAGAGTTTGAACACTTTTCCCTGAGTTTTTTATTGGCACTTCTGTGTCTTTTCCTGCTAATTTATCTTGGAAAATGTTTCATTGGTCTGGATCATAGCTCTGTTTTAGGACCTGTTTGCTTCAGATATTCCCTGGATCTAACTTTGTTGCTGCGATTACGGAGTTAAAGGGGCATCATTTATCATAAGGACTTCTTGTTGACAAAGCAAGGTTGTCCTTACAGTTACATTTGAATAGGAAGACTATTTCAAGAAGACTTTGGCTGCAGGTCAGTGTGTGGCACTCTAAAAACAACATGGGATTTGTATTGTATTGGATGTTTCCTCTTCTGGCTCTTCCAGTACTTCAGTCTGCCAAAATCCTGACTGTCTGTCTAATTGGTGAGTAATAGAGTGCCCTTCAATGGTAGTAATAAATGTATTCATTTTAAAAATGTGTTCAGAAATATAAAATAAATGAGCGTCTCCTTAACATTTTAATATTCAAATGTATGCTGTATGAGCCATTTTTCAGACAGCATAGTGATTTGTTATAATTCCTCTTCTCTCACTTTCTCTAGGAGGAAGCCACTACTTATTATTAGATGAAATTTCTCATAACTTACACGAGCATGGCCATCAGGTCCGTATGCTCTTGCAACAGGGCAACCCTGTTATCAAAGGTAAACTAGTACACACACACATGTACAGAAAGTATTCTTGCACAACTCATGGCATATTTTGTCACAGTTTCTTTCATATAAATTACTACACATCTCTGAACCTGTGAATTGCTGTTAGGTTTTTCCTATGCTGGCCGTGCAGACAGCTACCAGACGACCACTTGGTCCGTAGGAGAGGAATACATCAGAGAATACAATGGCTGGTTCCTGGAGCAACAGACACAGTTTTTACTGGGAAGGTATCCCCAGATTTCTTGGACACTTAGATACAATTGAATTATTTTAGAAGAAAGAGAGAACTCTTATAAACTACCTAATTTAGTTTTCAACTTTTGAGTCTGGCATTTTGTAGCTCTTGAATTTGTCTGATACTCATTTAGAATTCTGAACTTTCTTAGAGTTTAAGATATTTGTAACTTGCGTCATTGTATTATATCAGATTTAAATATTTTTATGATTTCGACTCCCCTCTGTCATTTTCTTGCTTTCTTTTTTCTCTCTCAGGGATAGCTTTAAGAACTTTCTAAACTTCATGGGGCACCTGTCCTATCAGTGTGACAGGCTGTTAGCGGACAAAGACATTATAAGTTTCCTCCAGAGGGAAAACTATGACATCGCCATCCTTGATGCTTTTAACCCCTGCTCCTTCATCCTGGCACACAAACTTGGTACATCTGCTCTTCCTATCACCTTGGTTATTTTCATAATTACTGTCTTCCTTTAAATCTTTCCCATTTCAACAGTTATGTATTATTTATCAATACCTTGCCACTTTTATTCATTGCAGATATACTAATTCAAATTAATTGTGAGGCCAGATTTATGGTGTTTTATTTATCTACCAACAACCATGAATACATTTACAACAGTTCTATGCTCTTTACTCTTGATTTACCCCAGGGGTCCGTTACATAGCTTTCTACCCCGGCACTCTGAACGGCCCGCTGTCTATCGCCCTCCCCAGCCCGGTGTCCCACGTGCCAGTCTTCAGCTCCCAGCTGTCCGACCACATGAGCCTCTGGGGTCGTGCAAAGAACCTCTTCTATTCTGTCTTGTCTCTTGTTGGTAAGAATGGTCTTACATTAGAGATCACACAGTGTCTTTGTTTGCCTTGCATAATAACACACATGTTTAGGGTAAGCCACATGACACTAGATTATATTTGTATAGATGTCATGGTTATTTTATATTATATTTCTTCTCACGTCTCATTCTTCTCTCAGTTCTCTCAGCTGCTTTTCAGGACATAATTGTTTTCTTTATCATCATTTCCCTTTCATTTTTTATTTCGACAAATTGTACATGTGGTGAGCATGTTTACATTTGTTTCCATCATATATAAATCTTTCTTCTTTGCTCCATTTTTAACATTGTTCCCATCTGCATTGGCCTACTATCCTGATTTAAAAATATGTACTTTCTATTTGTTCCTTAAAGAATGTTCTGTGTTTGCAACTAGTCAGCAAGTGGTTTAGCTTAAACTCATTAACAAGTAATAAGGAATCTGAATGACTTCTAAAATGTTGAGCATACATGTGAATGATGTGTGTATTGTGTCTAGGCCAGGAACTTGTATGGCGGACATTTAGGGAAGTAGCTGAGCGCCACCTTGAGTCAGGACCCCCCCCTGGAGGTCTGAAGGAGTTACATGGAGGAGCTGAACTCTGGGCCTTCAACACTGACTTTTCACTGGAGTTCCCCCAGCCCCTCATGCCTTACACGGTGCTGGTGGGAGGTCTGCTGAGTAAACCTGCCAAGCCTCTGGAGCAGGTCTCTTCTCTTCATTCTCATATCCAAATATCCAAATCCATTAGTGTGACTAAGATTTAAATGAACAAGCCTTCCTTCCCTCTCTTGACCTTTTTTACTCCCCCTTCACCTCTGCATCTACATCCTTCTCTCCCTCATCCTGCCTTAATCAACTATGTAAATGTACCTTCACACATTTCCTGTATTACCCATACCCAAACCCTTTGCAGGATCTTGAGTTGTGGATCTCCAGTTTTGGAGAGGCAGGTTTTATTGTCGTGACTTTGGGATCAATGGTGTCCTCAGTCTCTGTGGAGCGTCTGCTTGTGGAGCTGGTGGCCGGCTTCTCTAGGATCCCTCAGGGGGTTTTCTGGAGGTGAAAGCATTACACAATTCATACAGGCATAATAAATAACACTTTTAGCTTTCTTCCTCACAGATCTCACTTTTGACAAAGACATAAATGAGGGGAGGGAAAATACAAATATTTCCCCCGAATTATGGAAAGATGAATTTTTTTTTTTTTTTTTAAATCTATATGTAAGGATGTTGAGGGAAATGCCTACAAATGCAGTGTTTGGCTTGCAGGTATGACCCCATGCGCTGGCCATCTCATCTGGATAAACCTTCTAATCTCATGATAAGGGACTGGCTGCCTCTTAATGATCTGCTGGGTAAGAGCCTCTCTTATTCTAATCCTGTTAAAAACATTTTAAATTGCGGGCATTACGCACCACCTGAAGAACGATTAAAACAAACAGTTTCAAGATATAATCGTGAATGCATGCACCTTCAATTTCAAAGTAATACAAAACAACTCAACTACTTGCTTTAATGTTCAGTTAAACAATTTGATCTCATTTAGAGTAGGAGTAAGATTCAAATACAGCATGAATGATCATGGTCGCTGCTCTGTGGCGTAATTATCTTGCTGTGCCTCCCCATCCAATGAGTGTTGGCAGTGGTTTAGCCCTCAGTGTAATGAGCCTTAACCTATAAGATAGACCAGTGATGCTGAACCTTCAGCAAGATAGGTACCATGCAAGACTCCATTAAGAATAAATTATCAAAATAGACACAAAGAGCTTGATAATTTTCAAAAGGCTCGAGAGGAGGATCTTCTTGACAGATGTCCATGCTTCATTGCCTTAATTTCTCTTATTTTTCAAAAGCGGCCCCCGGACAAAGCAAGTTCAGTATCCCAGAGTAAGACTGTTGTATTATTCCAAACCACAACACTCTAACTTCCTCTAATCAGTGATGATGTTTTCCCTATTTTCTGTTTACCCCAGGCCACAATAAAGCTCGTCTCTTCATCACCCATGGTGGACAAAACAGCCTGCTCCAGGCGGTGTACCATGCTGTTCCTGTGCTGGGAATCCCTCTGTTTGGGGATCAGTTTGATAATGTGGTGAGGGCTGAAACAAAGGGACTTGGCCTCACCATCAACCCCACACACATCACCAGGGAGCTGCTCAGCTCCACAATTCAAAAACTCACACAGGACGTCAGGTACAGTATGTGGGCAACATTGGTGATGCCAGTACAGCACAGATATGTCTGTAATTACTCCTCATTTCTCTTTCTTCCGATTATATTCCTTTATAGGATCAAGTCTTCAGCTTTGTCCCTTAGCAGGATCCACAAATCTCATCCTGTCCCTCCAGCCCTTCGACTCATCCAGTGGGTTGAGCACATCCTGCATAGTGGAGGTGGAGCTCATCTAAGGCCTGCTTCACTGACACAAGCCTGGTACCAGAGATACCTGCTGGACCTGGCGCTTCTTCTCTTCCTGGGGCTTCTGGGACCTGTAGTTCTCTGCTGGACTTTCTGTAGGAAGAAGAATAGCAGGGACAAACACAAAAAAGTACAATAGCAGTGCTAAGGGACACTTTAGATGTTTAATTCAGTTCTGAGATTGAGTTTATGTTGGACTTGCACCAATGCCAATATGAGAATTTACTGCAAACCTAAAATACTGCCGAAGTACAACTAATAATCCAGTCTTGTTGTAATCTATTCATAACAATTCACCAGAAAATATTGGTATTTTAATTCAGAAAAAATTCCCTTTAATTATCAAAAGAAAAGTTGAAAATAATAAAAGAAAATATTATTGTTTTTAAGGATTTCACATAAATGTGCAAACAATGCATTAAAAACTGTTTTGATGGTAGGAATAACGTTGCATAACTTTGATTTGCTCGAATTTGCATACTGAATAGAGTTTCATATTCTGCATTTCCAGTTTCTCTTAAGCCAGTAACCTTTTAATGCCAAGTGTCCTGCCCTCTCCCCTCCCAGCGCCATCGTGACTACCAGACATCTCATTTGTTCTGCAGTGCCACATTGTCCAACACCTCTGTGCTGCTTTGACCTGACTGTGCTGCAAGCAAGGGTGGCTGATAGTAGACATGCAAACACACTCACCCCACCAAGCACTGCTTTTGTGCTTTTGTGTTGTTTCGTGTGGCAGCCAGCCTAAGAGTATATTGATGTTTGTTGAGACATTCTTTGTGCTGCAATGCTAGGCTAGGTGGGTACTTTTGTGTAGATGCAATATATTGATAGTCATAGAATATACCTGAACTCTCAAAAAGGTATGCTCTACCTGGAGAGTGTGTTTATGCACGTGTGTATCTGGATGTGTGTATTTGGGGCAGCGTAATGGTCTACTGGCTCTTCAATTATCAACCACCTGCAAGTCTCCCCTCTGACCCCCACACCCTCCTCTGCTGGTTTCCGCTGAGTCTCCTTCCCCTTTCTAAACAAGGCACAAAAGCGTACAGCAGCGTTCACGGTCAGCGCTCAAGCCATCCTTGAAAGCAGCCCAGGCCTTGGAGGACCCCCCTCTCTGTTCTGTCCTCCCTCCCACTCTTCACATCTGTGTTGGGGGTTAGCAGGGAGGAAAATATAGATTAGCAAGGAAATAATGACCAATTAGGACAGCTTGTTCTGTGTCCATTCAGCTGTCCATTCTTTCATTCCTTCCCTGCATTTCATTCGTCTGTTGGGCTGGCAGTTGAAGGTGCCAGTGAGTCTTCCTCTGTCTCGCACGCAATCCTAAACAGGCAGGGCAAAGCAGCCAAAGCATGAGACAACAGGACCACCGGTGGGGAAAAAAAGGAAAGAGGCAAACACAGAGGAAACTTTAATGATGAAGAAGAAGGACACAACAATGAAAAAGAAAACACAGACAATTATTGAAATCAGAAACAAAGCTTTGAGAGAAAGAAGCTAGAAATAGTCATCATTAATAATATAACTACAATAACATTTTGTTATTTTTTTGTTTTAAGCTAGAAATTAAATCATTTATTTTAACTTGACTAACAACCATGGCATTTAGGCAAAACAGGACTACTTCAGGTGACCTGCTGTCACAAGCAAGATACTATTAATTAAAAATAAAGTATAGTTGCATCACTATGTCACATTAGATGGGGCAAGAGGGAGGAAATAATTGATGTAAAGTTTCTTAAATCATGGATGTGTTATTTTTAACTCAGAGGGATGTGTAAAGGCTCTGATGTGTTTTTGTTAAGTGTGAAAAAAGAACGTTTGACATAATTGCATTAAAACTGGATCTACTCTAGTAGCCTGTTCCTGTCTGTCTTTTTTCTTATTTTTTTGTCATTTAAATTAGGCTTGAAAATAGTGACACAATTGAAACAAAATATCAATATATTTCTGTATTTATAATTTGTAGTATATTTATGAATATGTACTGTAATTATTGAATGTCAAAAGTAAAACCCTAAGTTCAAAGACAAAACGATAAATACATTTGATGGGCTTTAATGTTTACCTTGGCTATTGGCTCTGTGAGTTTCAGTGAGTAAGTAACAGGCAAATGGGAAGATAGAATCAGACAGTAGAGAAGGTGACCGTTGATGGATTTCATTTATCTGTACTGTTTGTGGATTATAGCTCCATCTAGTGACCTGGGAAGAAGACCTAATTGAGAAAGTGAATCTTGTGCCTAAAAAAACATGACTTATGAAACAATAGTTAAGCCCAATTCTAGGCCTACTTATAAGCAAGTACATATTATCAAATAGTGTTACTTAAGTTAAATGTTCTGAATCTGGTAGGTTAATACCAGGCATAGACTGTATATATAAAGGTTAATACCAATGCACTGTGACTATACCATTAAAATACTAATACACTGTTAAGATTGTGTGCAACTTTACATTGCTGCAACACTAGATTCACTGAAATCTTTTTTTTTTTGTCTGGCTGTACTTAAAAAGATTTAAAAAATATATAAAGACAGTTATACAATTGTATTGCATATCATTAGGTGTTTCCAATATTTAGCTTATCCTCATTATATTTGGATGGCCAAATATTGAAGGGACACATTACAACCTTCATGTTTGAACTGCCCCTTGTTCTTAATTTGAGTATTACTTTATGTGTATTCGTTTGCTCTGCAATTAACCATGTTTAAGAGGGAAGCCTTGCACTTTCCCACTACATTTAGCTAAAAATAACTCTATATTAAAGATGAGATTTGGTACACAAAAATATGATGAACTATACAATGAAGTAGTTATAGCCTATACATTAAGTAACCTAATTCAATGTATAGATTCATTGGAAATGAGCTTTCTTCTGAACCCCCTACAATGTTATAATGCTGTTCAGGGTCATGATCTCAGAGGAAATAAAACATGTTTTGCAGATTCATGTAATGTTATGTGTTTAACATTAAAACACAACATACAATGTCATATTTAAAAGTGTCTTTCCGCCGCTAGGGGAGCGCAATGCCATTTTTTAGAGGATGTTCCTCATAAAAGTCTGGTGACTCGCACGAACCTGATTGGTTAAAATGCTGTCGTTTAATTGGTCAGGGTCGACAACGTGGGCGTGGTTAGGCGTCAATGTTTATGTAGCTCTCTGGTCGGTGTATGTAACCGTTGCAAGGACTCTGTTATGTGATTTCCTGAAATTTATTTATTTTATAGCCTCTGTTTTGTACATTATGCACCAGCTGTTAATATGGGGAAACACTAACAGGTGAAACACGGAGGATACCGAGGAAAACTTCGGAATGGCAGGCGCCTTCAAAGGCTGCCAGAAAATTCGAGGTCCGCAGCTTAGGAACCTGCTGGAGGCGAAGGACTTCATCCTGCTGGACTGCGACGGAGTCCTGTGGCACGGAGAGAAGGCGGTGACGGGCGCGGCGACGGTGGTGAATTCGCTGATACGGAACGGTAAAAACGTATTGTTCGTCACCAACAACTGCACCAGGCCCCGGGAGAAATATGTGCACAAGTTCTCTCGGCTCGGCTTCACCGACGTGATGCTGGAGCAGATCTTCAGCTCGTCGTACTGCTCGGCTCTCTACCTGAGGGACGTGGTGAAGATCACCGGCCAGGTGTTCGTCATGGGCTGCGAGGCACTGCGCTCCGAGCTGCAGGAGGCGGGCGTCCCCTGCGTGGAGGACGCGGAGGACCCGGACGCCACCATCTACAACTGCCCCCTGGCCCCGGACGTCAAGGCAGTGCTGGTGGGACATGACGATAAAATGACTTTTCTCAAACTGGCCAAAGCGTCGTGCTACCTGAAGGACCCGGACTGTCTGTTCCTGGCGACCGACATCGACCCCTGGCACCCTCTGTCAGGGGGCCGGATACTGCCAGGTAGGTGGTGGTGATGCCTCCATTGTTAATGCTCGGCCTCTCCAGTGTTATGCACTGCACTGAACTTGTATTGGTGCCAAGTACCCTTTATAGATTATTGTAGGGCCTATTAGGCACAGGCCCCAGTATTCAGCTAGAGCTGGAACATCAGTTTGGTGTGACCATTATAAGAATTTCTCATTGATTGTAGTTCTTTTTTCATTAATTCACCCACTTTTCCTACAATAGCTTGAAGTTGCACACTTAAGCTTCACTAAATAATTATTACCAGTGGTAAAAGAAGTATTGAGATAAGTTGCTTTAGTAAGTAATAATACCACACAGTGAACAAATAACTCCAATACAAGTAAAAGTTCTACATGGTTTAATCCCATGATTTTTTTTCTTTCTGGTATACACTGTTTAAGGGTCATTCCAGAATTGGAGGACATTTCATGTCCCCCATATACAAAATCTAATAATCCATGCCCAACATGCTAAAACATGCACTTGTTGTGTTAAACATACTTGTATTGAGACAAAATGTATATAAAGTTGTAGAAAAAGTGGTTTCAAAATATTATTTAAATTATCAAATAGCTCTCGAACAGCTTCTTGGTGACCAACTTGCATGTCAAATATAACATTTAAAATAGGGATTTTATTTACTTTTGTTGGTATTATTCTATTGATATATGTCTCTTGTAATGGTAAAATCAATTTGTTAAATCATAAACATATTTTAAATAACAGTAATTTTGCACAGAAGGTGTGTCCCTCAACATGCGTTCAACCTTCAACCCTGTTACCCAAACCTTTTTAGATTGGCACAGGAAGTGAACAAACTGTAAATCAGATGACACACAGGAAGTGACATCAGCAAGCCATGTGCTAGTGCCATGGGTAGACCAAAACTAAGTCCTCTTTCATTTTTCATATTTTTACAATCTTAAAAGAGTGTGGCACTCCGACCCACTCAATGTTACTCATATTATCAGATTAAAGCATATTAATTTCAAAGTTATCTTTCTTGCATTAGATATCCAAGTTTATCCTTGCCTTGAAAGTAGCATTACATGCTACATCTAGCAATAATTCCTGAGGTTAAAGCTCAAATTAGCATTGATTTTCAACCCTGTTACTATAGAGTAACAGGGGTAATTCTTCATTGGAAAATATTAATTTGATGCCTAGCTGGGCAAATAACTTTTTTTGATGGTTTGTTATCTGTTTTTCCTAAATACATTAAAAAAAATTATAAAATAAAAGGTTCATTTTTCAAAAATGTTGGTGTCTAAATTGTCCTCCAATTCTGGAATGACCCTTAAACTGAAATACAAAAAACACTGGGTGAAAAGATGCTGGAAAATAAGAATAAACTAATATGAGCTTGTTTTTTGTGTGATAATTAGACTATATTGGTGTGTAAAGAATCGTTTTCACTTTCCAAAGGAAGTGCAGAACACCTGGTTAAAATGACATTGTTTCTTGAAAAAGTATTTAGCTGTACCTTTTCAGATTTTGTATTTTTAAGCTTCTTGCACCAGAATATAATTTAGCGCAGATACCATACCTCAAACATGGGCAGAAAGAACTCATCATAAGTGTGGCTATTTGATTTATGTTGAAATCTTTAATGGGGATTGATAGCCATTCTTCACACTCACTGTGCATTGTTTATGTACACCATCATCCTCAAGGGGTCTTCTATTTGAAGAGCAAGAAAGCCTGCACATGACAGTTTAATTGTATTATTTCTAGGGTAAATATACCATATATGTATACCATAAATGTACCCTACAATAATGCAGGACCTGTTGAATGCCTTTAGCTTTAGCCCTGCATATTGCAATATATGTTGCGTGTACCCATAATCGTTACTTATTATCTGACCAAATGTGAACTACAGCCTTCCAGGGCCGCAGTAATGTGAGGCTCCAAGGCGGTTTTCAGTTGTGTCTATTATGTAATCAAGTTTAAGTCTGAAGAACCTGCAAATGAATTTTTATGTTGCACTTAAAGGAAATGAAACAAGTGTCTCTCTGTAATGAAGCAATAATGTGTTAAGATAGCTGCTGGCAGTTTCCTTAGATTGGAAATGTTAGTTAAAAGCAATGAATGAACTGCATACCTAAGTTATATAGACTTTAAATCAGATAATGTAAATTAGGGCTGTGAGATACGGAAAAAGTATTGATATTGCAATTTAGCAGACAGGGATTTTAAATGCAGCTTGACTGGTTGAGGGAGTTTTACAGCAGTAAGTCATTCTAGTTAATCATAGAAAATCTTGGTTATTACTATGGGATTTGTAGTAGACTAGCACATGCAATACAATGGTCACAGAAGCACTAAAACCATAAATCAACATTGCAGAACTGTTTGTGATAGGTGGGTTGCCGTTGCTTTTTGGTACTTAGACAAAATACTTGAGGGAGTCGGGTTAGTGTGTGATTGTTGGAGGACATCTCTTAAGATTCACTTTAGTCTAACCTTTTTATCTTCACCCCCGGCAGGGTCTGGGTCCCTCACTGCGGCCCTGGAGGTGTCCTCAGGTCGTAAGGCCACAGTGATCGGGAAGCCCAGCCGCTTCATGTTCGAGTGCATCTCCAGTCAGTTCGAAGGGGTGGACCCCGCCAAGTGCCTGATGATCGGGGACCGTCTGGAGACCGACATGCTGTTCGGGGCCAACTGCAGGCTGGACACCATGCTCACTCTCACCGGGGTGTCTCAGACCAAGGATGCGGAGGAGTACAGGGATAGTGAGCTGACCACCAACCACAGCTTTGTGCCCGACTACATAGTGGACAGTATCGCTGATTTCTTACCTGCTTTTGAGGAACAGGACGAACAGAGCAATTGACGAGTCCTTTGGCCTCCAGTTCGAAGCAAAGATTGCTTCTGCTGTATTGCAATGTTTAGTGTGGCTTTTGCTCCTACCTTATCCACAACTAGAAATGTTTCT